TGAATGTTTCACACTGGACCTTTTTAATAAAGAGCTTATTATCGGTCCGACCCCCAGTTCCTCCTCCAGACTGTCATGGTTCAGCTCCATCAGCAGGTCCACATGCAGTCCAGGAAGCTGCTTTGTTCACTGCTGCCACCTCCTCTGTGAATCACTCTCAGGGCAGGAGGGGGCTTACAGCGCTGCTTCTTCTTCTTCTGCTTCTTCTTCTGCGGCACTTGAGAGGACACTTTGATGTCTCTGAAGCTCTCATCAGGAAAAAGTGAGGCGATCCCTCGAGGAGACAAAGTGCTTTTTGTCAGCGGCCTTCTGGAAAAGTGAGAAGCCAAAAAGCAGAGTCACTTTGTCGCCACAAAGACGAGGAATAGAAAGTTCACGCCCCCGGCGGCGGGGGAGGCTGGCGGGTAATAAGACATCCAGAACAGCTGTTCAGAGAGGGGGGGGGGGTGTCCTCTCTCTAAAATAAGCAGCAGAGATTGCCTGAACATGGCCTACAGATTAGTTCGTCCTAATGTGGTAAATCCCGGCTCGTGTTTGCCATGAGGCGGCGGCGGCGGTGGTGGGCGCTGGTTTAAAGCCCAGCAGGACACAGGAGCGGGCAAACCCACGTCCCTGGACGCCATGTTTACCGAAAAACTTGTTTGTCCAGCTGCTGGAGGGACGTTGTGAGGAAGCGGGAACGGCTGTTAATTAAAATCGTGATTCGTCCCTTTTTTCCTCGGATCAAATGAGTTGTACATTTCTGTCAACACGGCCAAACAAACAACGGGGGGGACGCCAGCGTACATGTTTGCTAACCTGCCCGGCTGCGAGTCCACCTCCTCACAGGGGGGAGGAGGGAGGAAGAGGAGGAGGAGGGAGGGGTTTGATTATTGATTATACGCTGTTTGGATATTCCTCCGGGTGCTAGAGATAACATTCATACTGCCTTCACGTGCAGCTTTTAAATAGACTGTTTGGTTTATGAGTTAAAAATCACATTTTCAAGGACAAATGTAAATTTTGAATCGGTCATAATTGAAAATGTACATCTGTTAATCTCCATTATTTACAGACGTTAGTGTTGGCGGTGTGGAAACGGCTTTGAAAAGGAGGTTTGTTTAAAGGCGTTTTGTTGCCCTGACAGATCGACGTTATACGAGATACTGACCTTCCTCAGCTAAAATCATTAAATAAAATAATTTGTTAACCGAATAATTGATTAAACAACTCATAATTTCAGCTTTTATATGTTGTGATGTTGATTTTAATCACTTATTCTTCACATTTTCTCTTTGCTCCCATAAAGATTCTTTTAAAATCTTTTCATAAACTTTTATCTGTAATACAGTAACGGGTGTGACCAGGCTATGTAACATGGCGACCAACCATAAAGTTGAACTCAGGGTTTCAAAATGGTACTGACAGGTTCACAACCCAGAAAGCGGCAAAATATGTTGTTTCTGAATCTTAGTGATGTGTTGTAGTGAGCTGCTGAGCATGCTAGGTAGTCAGTCACAATAGCTTGATTGTTTCTTTTCGTCTAACCTAAATTATTTGAGAAGAAAGCTCCCCTGTTTCATTCAATTATGTGGTCTCTGAAACTTGATAACATACTGCAGTGGCTGATCGTAGGGCTAGCTGGTGAGCTAGCGGCTAACGTCTCTGTACCGATTATTCCCCCCCGTCAAGAAGTGAAAATAACAAATCATTATATCCTATACAGTCGATCCCATTATACTCCGCCCAAATACAGCAATGAATTGAAAAATCTGTTTTACAAATGGTGTGACATAAAAAAATCAAATATTTGTTGCCAATTATGCCGATTGAGTGTATTAATGAGGTGGTTTTCTGAAGGTTTACTCGATGCTGACATCGGCAGGGTTCCCAAGAATACTGGCAAAACTTAGTATAGTTACTTATAGTTTTCCAGTCATGGAAACACCTGGAAATTGATTAAAATGAGCAAATATCCTGGAAATAATCTGGGTTGTCCTGGAAATGTTTAAATTGCGTTTAACCCCTCGGCCGGCTGATTTCCCAGCGGCTCCGACCAGGACTCTGACTCTGGGGATGAAGACCCGGTGGGTTCAGGCAGCGACAGGAGAGGAATGAAACTGAGGAAGAGGAGCCAGTTTGTAGCCAGTTAATTAGTCAGTAACTGTTAACCCTTTAAGCGCCAAAGTCACAAATAATAATAGTAATAATAATAATGAAGAAGAGAAGAGGAAAGGAGAAGAAAAAAGAAGAAAAAAAGAAGAAAGAAAAGAAAAAGTGTCCTTCGATAATCATAAAAAACGCCTACTGTTTACATGAGTTTTGTGGTAGTAATAGTTCTAGTTTGCGACTGTTGGCTTACAATTTATCTTTTCCCTGTTCGTTTGATATGTGGACAACATAACAAATGGATGGAGGGGGGTGAATCTGATGAATTAAGTTCAACTCTCTTTAAGAATATCAGGTATTTCATGGAAATTACATAATCCAATATGGCTGCCACCATATGACGTCATAATATGCTAATTATTTGGGAAAATTTACTCCCTAGATAAACTTTAGGTCAATCTCAATATTTGTCTCATTTACTCTTTGTCTCCATCTCAAACCACTTTCAAGCCAGAGCCTTCTGAAATTTAGATGTCAAAATCTAGTATTTTTAAAAATAAAACCTGGCGCCTAAAGGGTTAACGTCTGTTAACTGTTAACTAGTATATATATATATAGACACACACATGTATGTATGTTTGTTAAAATATATATATTTAAATAATTAAGTTTATATCATGAAGATGCTTGACTAGGAAACTCTTTAGTCGGGGCCATCCTAGTAAAAGTAAATTTATAAAGGATGCAATAATAAGAAAAATAGAATATTAATTTTTATTAATTAATTAATTAGAGAATTATCTGGACACTTTTATACTTTACTTTTAAAAACATGCAACACAGAGGCTCATAAAATCTCACAAGTACGTTCATAATGAAAAAAATGTCTCTTTTAACACAGAAATAAACAGATAAATAAAAATCTGGCCGAGGAGACTCTTCCTCAAATGACACTAAAATCTGCCCTCATGGGGGTACTAAAGATACTAAAGGTACTGAGGGGTTCAGTTTCAGATTACGCAATCACTTCCAATGTAAAACAAGTCACAGTAAAAGTCCGTAAACTCTAAATAAGTTAAAGTTTCTGTAACAGTAAAAACACTCACAGACTCACTGCTGTATCTCATGGCAAAACCTTTATTTATACAACATTTTAAATGAATTAATGTGCAATAAAGTACTGTAAATACTATAAATTGCACAGAAAACTACGGTCACATCTCACGGCACAAACCTTTTTTAATACAGCATTCAAAGGGTATTTTCATGTGGCAAATTTGTTTCTTTTGAGGGTAAAAACTTGTGTTTATACGGTAAAATATGGAATTAAACTCCAACTTTAACCATAAAATCCACAGTACTAATATTCTGTAGAAAGTTCTGGCAACCACAGCTGCCAGTGCTTTTGTTACCATAAAGAAATCTCAATAAAAAGAGTTTCCTGTCTGAAAGTGAGTTCTGCACTACGATGAGGAAGGACCAGAATGCACCTGGGTGTGTCTTAAAGGACAGGCGTCGACACGCTCTGATTGGCCGAGAGGCGAACGCCCCAAGCTGTTCTCAGTCACTGTTGAGGAGTCAATCTCTGCAACCGGTGATCAACAGGTGATCTGAATGATCAACCAATCAGAAGATTTCCACCCAGTGAAAACATTGTTTCACTATGAGATCATTTTAATGAACTCGTTCTTTATTTTAAAATAATAATAATTTAAATTAAATGTAACTGTAATCTGATTTTTTCTGTGACTGACTTGAAGTATAATATACTAGAATATATTTAATTACTCACCTGCTTTAAGTTAAAGCTCCAGTGTGTAACATCAGAAATATAATATTCATAGGTATGTTTTCATTAGTGTTTAATCACCTGAATGTAAGAGTTGTTGTGTATTATTATAAATACTATTGGCAATAAAAAAGGAAATGGCAGTAAAGGCAGACTGACTGTTTCCCCCGAAGACACAAATACAAAATACTGGAAAAACTGGAATTCTTTAAGTGATTGTGTTACTTTATATGTGTTTGGAGAACTTTGTTTTATTTCTTTCTGTAATAAGTCCAACAAGAGTGGACTTTTGGTTGAGGAGAAGACTTTAAAAACACGTCTGTGGTTTCAATGGACAGGACTGGTCCACAGACGTTTACCATTCAACCCACTGACAGCGTTTATAACAGACACAGCTTCTGGGTCTGTGACGTAAAGCCAATGTGGAAGTGTCTTCTATGTAAAGGCCAGCAGGGGGCAGCTCCATTGGCTGCAATACATAAAGTCTGATAGTATTGAGTCTTATGGAGAAATGAGCCAAGAATTAAACTAAATGTAAAAAATGTGTTGGCTCAAATTCAACTTGAGTGGTAACATTTGTTTAAAAAAGATGCATTTAATTCATTAAATAAGTTTAATAAGTCTGACAAAGTTATTTATAGTTATTTAAGTTCAGTTAATTGAATGGAATTAAAGTATTTTACACAAGTAACAACAAATATTTCATTTACTTGTACTCAAAGCAAAAATGTTTCATGCTTAAACTGTTAATAGACTTAAACGGCTCAAGGCGATCGGTTTGAGACGAACTAACTCATCAGGTTTTACACAGAGAAAAAGACTCTGCCCCGAGGCTGGGAATCGAACCCACAACCTTCTTGCTGTGAGGCAATAACACATTTTTAAATCTTTACGCTCGGGAGTATGAAGTATTGTCAAATCAAAAAGTTCAAGTCGAGCTACATGTCTTTTTTGGGGGATTTTGTCGAGTCTGAAGGCCTCAAATTTCTGTCTGGAGCCGACATCGTCTGATGGTCAGCAATGAAGTTACACCAGTTAAACCAGTTTAATCAGTGATTGTGATGGAAACTGCTCCGCTGACACCTCCAAACTCTCAGAAATAAACGTTTCCTCGGACCGCTCGTGGTTTTAACAAGACTTTATTATAAAGACACGAATGTACATCTTTCAACTCTCAATGGAATACTGACATTTCGTGTCTAATTCACATTTCTTATTTTCTTTCCTCTGCAAAGAACAAATAGCAAAAACCAAAAAAAAACTTTCACCTTATAAACAAGTGCTGCAATTCAATCTCCAAAAGTACAACACCCACAGGCTGGACGACGAGTTTCTGAACAAGATTCAAGTCGGAAATCAGATAGAAATGAACATCAGCAACCTGAAAATCATAGCAGCATCATGTTTCTGTAAAATGTTTTAAGAAAAAGAGTCGGATTTGTGATGTTTTTGTGTTCTTTTCTTTAAAGTTGACTTATTTTTTTTCCTTGAAGAATAATCCTGATCGAGTTGGATCGCGGAGACGATCCTGGGCTGCACAGTCTTGCAGGTTTTTACTATTAAAGGCCTTCGAAAGTTGTAACTGGGTCAGTTTTTCTCGAGTAGAAAAATAATCCTGGACGAGTCGATCGGCTGATAGTGACAGAGCTGAACCTGCCAATCAGGCTTCAGATTTCTGTGTCAGTCCACAAATAAACTTTTTTTTTTTTTTTAAATGTCTCTACTATTAGTTTGAAGGATCTTCAAAAATAAAACCACCAACAACAAAAAAAAAAGGATACTTCTTTTGTAAGCAGAGAAGACGAGAAACACAGGAAGTCACAGCACTTGGAAGCGCCATGAGGCCTGGTCTTTGTAGTCCAAACAGTCGGAGGCGTTGAAGTTGAGTTTCCAGGCCGAAGCCGCCGTCTGCTCTTTGTAATCCAGACAATCTGTGGAGTTGAAGGCGAGGCCGGGTGCGCTGTACGCCTGGTGGTGGTGTGACGGGTGGTGGTGATGGTGGTGGTGCCCTGATGTCTGGCCGATGTGGTGGTGCGGGTGTGCTGACATGGAGCCGCCGGTCATGGGGCTAAGCTGGTGCGGGTGGTGGTGGTGGGAGTGCATGGGCGCCAGGTACGAGCCACACTCCACGCCGCCAAAGTAAGAGCCTGACGCTGAGGCCGGGTAACCCTGGCTGTACGCTGCTGCAGTTTGGCTGTAAGAAACCGGGTAGGAGGGCGTGCCCCCGGTGGCGGAGGACGACACGGAGCGCTGCATGCAGGAGGCGCTGGTGGGGGCGGCGGGGTCCGGCAGTGAGGCCGGTGCAGGAGCCGGGGAGATGGGCGCCGGGCTCCAGATGGACGACACTGGGGCGGTGACGGAGGTAGAGGTGCTGATCAGACCGGCACCACCAAGGCCGGAGGAGATGGAGGAGGAGGAGGAAGAGGAGGACGCGGAGGAGGAGGAGGAGCTGGACACCGCCGGTGGGGTGAACTGACCACTGCTCTCCGAACCGGTGCTCTCTCTTGTCGGAGACGACTTCTTCTTCATCGGCTTGGCCTTGGCGCTGTTGCTGCTCTGCTGCTGCTGCCGACACTTGGCCCGTCGGTTCTTAAACCACACCTGAGGAAGGAAGGACGGAGGTCAGGAGGTCAGAAACCACAAAACTGCAGAACCTGACGGAGCCGGCGGGAACTAAACACCTTCAACACTTCCCTCTCACGTGACACTGCCGAGGTCTGGGGCTCTGACCTTTGACCTTTACTGCTGGCTGCTAAATGACTTCACTACCAAAGCGGAAAAACACCAGTGAATCTGTTTCTCACACTTTAAAGGGAAAGTTCACCCAAATGTAAAAAATAAACACACTTCCTCTCTTATTGTAACTGATTTTGACTGTAGTGCCAACAGCAGTGAGAAAGGACTCAACTCTTTAAAATTCAGCGCTAAAACGTCTTTGCTGGCACAAAGTTGCTCTGGATAATCCACAGAAAAGCTTCCATACTAGACTATTTCTTCAATAGAAAGTAGTTCACTTTCGTTGTTCTGAGCTGGAGACAAATATTTTCTTTTTTTGTGACCAAATCTTTTATTGGTTTGTCTTTTTTTTTTTTACCATTTGCCTTCATTATAGAGGATAATGACCTTTCATAACATCTCTATTCACTATGGTAATCCCACATTCATTATAGACAGATCTGATTAATAAAATCAAAACTATCTGCATGGAGAAAAATTAGAAAATGTGTGTTTCTATTTTGTGTGATTTTGGTCTTTTCTTTAATTAAATGGTAATTACATTGTAAGAATAACTTGTGAAACTGCTCATTTATGTCAAATATTTGAAGACTCATCCAGGGTGGTTTTTCAAAATAAAATAAGCAGAACAAAGACTGAATACATAACGATCAAACAAACAGAAAGATTTTTAGACTGGATGAGATTCGTAAAATAACTTCTCTGATTTTTTTTTATGACATTTTCCAGTTTTTAGTTATAGACCTGGAATATTTGTTTGAGGGACAATAATGGAAATAAGTTAAGGGCCTTGTGCTTCTGTCCCTTAACAAACTTATGATGTGTTGTACTTTTAACATATAATATTTTAGATATAAATTGGAGTCAAAACCAGAATTACTTCATTTTCATACTAACAGAAACACATGTAAACTACTCTCCTGTAACTTTAATTGTTGTTATTATAATAAAGAGAGACTTTATTGTCATCCATCTGTATAATAAAGCACTTTTCCTTAAAGGAACCCCTTTCTATCACTAAGTAAAAAAAGACTATATTTTATATATATTTCATAATATTTATATATTATATTCAATAACAACAATAACAGTAAAGAACAGCTGATAAACTTTACGATGAACACAAACAGTGAACTCAGTAACTGCAGGAAGTTTGTTGGAAGGAATTTTGAACAGATGATAGGAACTGATACAGAAATATGATATTTATAGGAACTTTTATTACAATTAAGTCTGTATTATGTTTTTATTTTTACATAGGCCTACTTAATAGATAAATCTTCTACAAGAGTTTCTAACTGGTTATGAAACAGTCTCTGTTTAATACTGAAGCCTCTGTGTGACCTACATAAGCAGCACATGAGACCATCAGAGAAACGTTTGGTGATTTTTATGTAGTTTTAATGCCGACAGCTGGTCAGATTCCCATTGAAATCAATGAAACGGTGGTAGAAACACTACCACTTCTGTCCACAGGGGCCACCAGAGTCAACATAAAATGGAGGTTCCTCGTTAAATAATAATCTTTAAACTTTGAAAATAAAAGAAATGAACAAAAAAAATTTGTTTTACTCCCTTTAAAATCAAGAAGGCCCTGTGACCCCCAGTGAAGCTTTGGTGCCCCCAGATTGGGAACCAGCGTGCCAAAGCAACGTTTAAAAGAATAAAATGCTTCCCTAAAAATAACAACACCGACACTAAAGATAATTCTGATGTCTTTTAACTGCAGCAGAAAGCAGAGAGGCAGCAGCCATAATTGCAGCTTTAAGCCCAGCAGAGTGCCGCTAAAGCCGGGGATAAAAAACCCTCTTTTCTAAAGGAAGCTCGCCACGGTAAGAACCTGGTCCTTCACTCTGCCAGAGCCCGGACAAATTCTCCCCTTTGATTACAGACGTGTCTCTACTTGATCAATAACAGCTCAACTTTTTAATCAGGAGGTGACAAAGTCCACCAGGAACCAGAGTGACTGTTACTAAATGAGATGTAGAGCATCAAACTATCAGCTTTAAGGGAATTTCTGCGTTTATTTTGCTTATTTGACTTGTTGGATAAGAGAGAACTTCATTCTCCCAAATTACAAGTATTTTGTTTTCAAGTTTGCAACAAAAAAAAACTCATTTCCTTTTATATTTTCCACATAAAGCATCCGGACCGACCTGCACTCTGGACTCCGGCAGGTTGATTTTCAGCGCCACCTCCTCCCGCATGAAGATGTCCGGGTAGCGCGTCTTGGCGAACAGCGACTCCAGAATGTCCAGCTGCGTCCGGGTGAAGGTGGTCCGCTCCCGGCGCTGCTTCCTCGGGTTACCTGGTAGACAGAAACAAACAGTATTAATTATATTATCCTCATTTAGACTGTTTGCTAAAGTTATAAACTGAATTACAGCTTCTGTTCGTGAGCTCGGGGATAAAGAAACATCGTTTTTTTGGATAATTACGCTTTTCTAATTACGCACGAGTTTTTCCAGCTTATAAAACATTTTTTTGGACTTCCAAAAAGCATTCTTATACATACAGGATCGATATGGGAGCGTTTTATCTTTGAGACAAAAGTTTACGGCTGCAGAAATATCGCACAGAGACACCAAGAACAAACTCCACTGTGGCCCCAAAAGCTCAGACTCTGAATCAAAGTTTAATTCAGCGATCACCACACACACTTTACCCGCTGAATAAAGTCACTTTAAGACTTCAGGATAATTCATGTCACTCAGTGTGAGCTTTAATCAGCTGATACACTTTAAAATCTGCGTAGAAATATTACGAATAATGTAGAATGATCTCCGTATCGATCAGACTCGAGCAGCACAGACAGAAAAATAAAAGCGTAATATCATAAATATTCCAATAATTTATTAATATTTGGAGAAAGTTTCCAGGGATTTTATAGGAATATTATCTCAAATAAATCTGTTTTTAAGAAATAAGTGAAGTGTTTAAAGGAGCCTGTGTTTGGCTCCTCATGAGAGGGTCTGATCCGTACCCGGGTACCCCACAGACGGGTGCAGCAGGTCCATGGCGGCTCCGCTCAGGCCCAGTCCGTTCATCCCGTACGGGGCCTGTTTGAGATAAGACATCATGCTAGAAGCGCGGAGGGGAGACCGGAGTCTGGGCGGGCGGGACGGTGCAGATCTCCCGGCGGTGCAGGTGCTCAGGTCCCCGGTGTTAAGGTCGGCTGCTGCGGGGGGAGGAAGCAGGTGAGTGCGGGCAAAGAAACGGTGCAAATACTGAATATTTAATGATAGAATCCATGTGTTATACAGCACTCTCTATATTACTCTGATAATATATGATATGAACCAACTTTAGTTTCACTATAAAGGCCTGGAAGCTTCAAAAACTTTCATCTAGGAGCTTTTTCTAAATCTGTAATTCACAAAGGCTATTTCTGTTTTTATTAACAGTGAAAGCGATAAAACAATGCAGAGACCATCAGATGGAAAGTATCCTGCTGACTGTAGATGCAAAACGTTTCTATTTACATTTTGGATCCACCAGCTAATGGATGCAAATTGGTAATAATCATAACAATCCCAATGTGATGGCCGTGGAAATAAAGGAGGAATCAGCAGGAAGTGTTCTAACATTATAGAACATATTTACATTAATAAAAGGACAACAGCTCCTCAAACTGAACTTTCTTTCTGCTCATTCAGCTGATTTTTGTTGTGTTAATAAGAAATGATTAAAGGTGAGAGAAGTGTCACGAGCCTCGGTGTGATCTCGCGGGAGAAAGCAGCTCAGTCATTACATAAAGACTCCTCACAGATCTGTTATCGCTCACATCTTCATTACCTTTTAATTAATTCAATAGCTCACAATTAAATCCACACGTTTAAATTACAGGCCACTTGAGACTTTTCTCACCTCCGAATAGCTTCAGTCTTATTTTAAATATTATTCATTCAAGCAGAGACACTTTATTTCTAACTACCGCCAGTGTGGCTGTTTATCTGTCACCATTATAATGTTATTTATTAGTTTTTTTAAATTATTATTGTGTGATTTTACTACAATTATTTGCTTAATATTCATGTGCTAGACTTTCAGCCCGCCCTTAATGTAATACATGCACTGTAAAACTAGTTCATTTAACTAACTTTCATTTATTGAAACTGATTACATTAAAATACATTCTTGATAAAGTAGCTTCAGTAATTTTAACTGACACTTCATTTTTATTTGCCCTGTGAAAACAAAATACCTTGTAAAAAAGTACTTTTTTAACTTGAACAAATTGAGTTTGTGTCACCGAAAGTTTCAGTTTCAACAATTCTTTGAGTTAAAATAACTTATAATATTACAGTTTGTGTTTTTATTTAGTTTCCTGCAGTTATTTTCATTATGGGAAGAAGAAAGTGTAAAAAGCACAAACTCAATAATGTAATTCAGTTTTCAACCTGCAGTGATAAAACTAAATGAATGCTTTATGAGTTGAAACACACATGGAAATAAATAAAAGTGCACTGACGTGTTTAAAGGCAACGATTTAAAGAATAAAACTAACATCCGAATTTAAAAATATCCTGCTTTTGCTTTTCTTCCTGCAGAGCTTCACTCCTTTCCTGCAGCTTTAATAAACTGCCTTAATTACTGACTGTTAGTATTAGTGTAAGACAATGTATTTAGATAAGAATTTCCATAATCCACTGGGGTCCTTTTAGCAGGTAAATGCTCAAATTTAGGACTAATAGCAGCCCTGTGTGCGGTGAAAGGGGCCGCGGGCCTCCCGGTGGATCTCAACTGAGGCGTTAACGCTGCAAATAAAGCTCCACGCATTTCCATAACCGCAGGAAGGAGCCGCACCGCGCAATGTAAATGCGTCAAAACTGTGTGCAAATGAAGTCCATTACAATTTAGATTAGATCTACAGGGCGACAATTAGCAGAGGACGAGGCTGTTATCAGCACAGGAGTCTGCAGCGGGCCGGGAGGAAGCACACAGAGGCAGTCTTCACAAAAACACGTTTTAGATTGAAGGAATAAAGATTTGAATTAAAGCTTTTAATGGGTTTAACTAAGAAAGGTTGAGTAGTTCTGATTTTCTAGTACAGTTTGTAATGTTTGATAAAGTAAAACCTATTTAATATATACTTTAAGTTAATAATTGTTTTGTTTTTTTCGTTTAGGAAAAATATCTTCCAGAATATTTCAGATGGAGACCAGGGATAAGAAAATAAAATATGAATAAATCCTGTAGCTCTGAATAATGTTGGTACAGACTAAAGCAGCTGGTTCGATCAGGATCAATAAACTGTTCAATAAAATATAAATATAATAACAGTCTCACCTTCTTCAGGCTCCTTTTCTTTTTTTAAAAAACAATTCCTGTTAAATGTCAAAGCACAGAGATCCAGAGTTCAGGAAATATCCACATGGAGGAAAATTTCAGATTTTCTGGCAACAAAAAAAAAAAAAAAAGAAGCAGGTTCATCAGCTCCGCGCGCGACTCACACCTGTGTCAGAGCAATAAAACGTAACATTTCACCGCGGGAAAAACCGTAGAACGCACGCACACACAACGTTCGGGTCCTCGCGCTCCTTCGCTCTCCTGCCGGTGTTGACGGACGGAGATTGATGCTCGTCTCCGAGGCCCGCGCCTCTATGAGTCAAGGAAGCACGCGGGTCTGCGTCCTCCGGGCCAATCGCGGGGCTCTGCGGGCCTCGCTGGATGACGCGGGCGGCCAATCGGCTCGCGAGCTGGCCGCCAACTCGCCCCCCCTCCTCCCTCCCCCGTTCGAATGGAACACACGTCACGCGAGTGGAACGTTCGTGTCATAAAGTTGAAGGAGAATCGAACGCTGCCGTTACATTACCGAATGTTCGATTGAGGCTAATTTCAACAGGAAGCAGCGACGTTAAAGCGGATTAATGGAGAGAGAGTGCGGTAAAATAACGCTTCTGTTTTATTTTAGCGGCAAAGAAGCTCAACCGGGCCTCTTTAGGCGCTGTTCGGCCATTTAAGAAAAGTTGTTTTTCTGTTGTCAATAAAATAATATGGTGGCTAAAAACAGTTAGCATAAAATGTGGCTTATGACAAACCAACTGTAGCCAATGGAGGCTGTACAGAAACAATTAAAGTATTTTGCTGCAACAGAAGACTTTGCAACTTGCTGTAAAGCAGATCATTCTTTATTTTCACTCTAAATATCAGGCTGCGAACTACAGGGGGGCCGGGGGGAGTTAATAAGACATGAAAACATGAATTGTGACATTTTTGGGGGTTGTCTAAAATATTAACAATATACTAATTTTGACCAGTATGTCTAGTTTTCTGTATCTTTATCATCATGGATCAGGTGTAAAATGAAGCTATTATTGATAACTGATTATTAAAGATCACATGTGCTGACAGAAAGAAAGTAGGCCCACATGATTGCAGCTATGAAAAAAAAAAAAGAAGCGAGCTCCCCTGAGAGCCACACTGCTAATATTCCTACTGCTCAGATACTTTCATTAAACTCCATTCCCTCCAATACTGTGTGAGGTATCTTCGTCCCTAAATGATACTGACAGCCTCAACCAGCTCATTCAGTTTAAAAATAATAAAGAAATACTGTTGAAAAGCAAGCTGGCCACAAAAAGCTGCCCTACAGGCTCAGACATGAGCAGCTGCTGATTAAAGCTGCTGCCATGAATTATTTGACTTAAATGACCTTTGAATGAAATCAACAGACTGCACTTAGAGGATGAAATAAAAGAGATTTTTCCGCTTAACTATTGGTAGAAAGATAGCTGGATGGTGTGAGAAATTCATATTATTTTGCCAACAAATACATACATTAATAATAAAGTAATTACATTAATAAGCATAATAATAAATGAAGTAACATTTAATGAGGAAATATCCTAAATTCCAATCATTTAACTATTTAAGTCCTGTGCAGGAAGCACCCACTTCTGAGGCAGGAAGATATCTGTAAAACCAAAAGTAAAAAAATGTCAGGTTGTGTTCAGGGGAATGTGAATTTGCTGGAAGTATTTGTTGTCTCATTTCCTCCTCAGAAATTGGCTGTGGTCGACGGCAACAAAGCCAGCGATTGATCGCAAGTATCAAGATATCAAATGGACGGAGTCATTGTTGTTGTGAGGGTTTTTTGGGGCCTAATCCCAAATTGCAGGAGTATTTTCTTAATACTAAGCCCGTAAATCCAGGGATCAGGGAGCCTAAAGAGGTGTGTGTGTGTGTGTGTGTGTGTGTGTGTGTGTGTGTGTCTGTGTGTGTGTGTGTTGGAGGTGGTGGGGGTTAAGTTTGGAGAGGCTTCTCGTCTGTGTTGTTGGCGCTTATTAAAAGCATGATGCATAAAATCCCAGGTTGTCAGAAAGCAATGCAGGAGGCTCCGGACAGGCTGCTGCACACTTTCATTTAAAAACAAAACAAAACACACACAGACAAAAGCAGCCCTGCAGACACAGGACGGGGCAGAAAAGCCCTTTAAATCAGCTGACGGCACTGAGTTTGGGTGCAGGCTGGAGGAAAAGTGCAGCTCAGTGGGCAGATGAAGATGGGACAGAGGAAAACAACATGGACCAAATACTGCAGTCTGATGTGGATCCATCAGGAACAGGCTTTGCTCTGCTGAGACTCTCCGGTAAGGACCAACTTCGCTCTCTCGCCTGTTAATTATGAAGTGTTTGTGGTGGAAAGTTTAAAAAAAAAAAAGAAGCAAAACTGTCTCCATCAGGTTGAAAACGTGGTAAAATAAAAATATATAGTTGTTGTCTTTGTAAATTCAGGCCGGAATATCAGAACAGTTTGTTCCTGCAGGGTGTGTTAGTGGATCAACTGTGGGGAAATGTCACTGTGAGTGTCTGACATAGCACTGATTATGTTTTTAAGTTTACAGCTTAGAGCTGGTTTCTTGAAGATGATAGTTTGATAAAGTGTGTTGCCTCTTTGTTTCTTAAAAATAAATGACAGACTGTTGAATTCAAATATTCACAGATTAACTGGGAGAATATTTACTCTGCTTAAAGTGAGCGAGTGAGGAACTAAAGCTGAATATCAACCAGTAAAACTGTTTGTCTTTATGGAAAAAACTGGAATGTTTTTTAATGTCGAACTGTCTCAAAAATGTAAAGATTATTTAAAAAGTATAAATAGATTTTAATTCAGATATTTTAGTGGGAGTGCATGGAGGCAAACCCCTCTCATTTGTGACATTAGAGCTGACAGGACGATGACATAGAGATGGAAATAAGCCTGAATGTGATTACGTAACACCTCAGACTAACTGTTGTATACGCTGCAGCAAAAATTACCCAACGAGTTTTTAAATGTGAATTAACCAACAAATATGAGGCATTTCTAAAAGGTTTATGTTGTCAAATTTTCTTAATTTTCCATATTTATAAACTCCTTAATAGGCAAAGGGAATACATAAAAATGCAATAGTTTCTCTTTGCTAGAATGATTTTGGTAAATTATACAACAACTGTGGAAACTGGATTAAAATATGTTAATTTTGTGATTGTATGCCCCTAAAACTGAAAACTTCCTCCAAAACCCACTGATAGAGTGAGCTGTGTCGAGTATGGAAGCCCATTTCCGCCAATGTGATGGAAAAAAAGGATTCTTTAAGTCTTTATAATGAGAAACCTTCTCAAAATATTGACTTATTATCACAAAGTCATGATTTTCAGTCAAATTAAGTCGAAATCTTAAGAAAGTTTCTCATTATAATGACTTATAGAATCTTTTTTTATTTCATCACATTGGCAGAAATGGGCTTCCATAGTAGAGAGAGATGCAACAAAATCAGGAAGTTTATCTTTAATAACCTTTAAATGATCATTTAGAAATAGATTTTCTTGCTTATAAAAAAGTCTCCAACGTCCTCCATTTTAAACATGTATGTCCCAGAATGCCTCAGTGTTCAGTGAGTTGTCCCTTTTGGGTGTTATATTATAAGAACACATTTATAAAAACACAGGCACTGAACCTTCAATGTGCACAGACTGTTATCTTTACCAAACCCTGCGATTATATCGAGTGTCGTCCCAGCTACGCCTTTATATTTAGTTTTCTGTAAACATGTCAAGTCAGGTCAGTTTTCTTTATAAAACTCCAATAACACATTTGTTTGAAATAAACACAAGGACAGACAACTTCTTAATAAGATGAGGTTTATAATAAACACACAAGGCAGATTTACTTAAATCAAATCCTTAAGGGACTTAAGATATTCCCTTACTTTATTTAAATATTATATAATAACATCACATTTGCGGTTTAAGACCTACAAGACCAGCAATCTAAATGTTAGATAGATAGATTATTATTATTATTATAAAGCACCAGTTTAAGATTTAATTTTGGTGGATGAAAGAAAATGATGTTTGAATGATGTCTGTGCAGAGTTTGACACTAGAAAGCATGTTTTCACATTGATCTGCTGAAAGTGGAAAGTTTCTCTGAGCTCATTGAAAGGCTGGTTTTAAGGGGCGTGGCCTACGAGCATGATTTATGACATCACAAATAGTTTTTAGGAAGTCAGTCGTCCAGTTTGCAGCTTCTACAGTCCACATCATCCACAACATCCAGCAGTGCTCAGACACTGAGGATGGACTTTACTGTGAAGGAGGAGATTTCATAGCGTTTCCTGTTCCTATTGAAGGAGTAGATGACTTTTAAGAAATATACTCATTTGTGGAAAAATATCAGACACATATTATTGTTCCAAGCAGATTATTTGTATACATTTCTCATGTCTGTCTAATGTTCATGTGGAAAAATCCAAATTTCACAATAAAATCCAAACAACCAGTAGACAGAATTGAGTCCTCTGCCTCTCTAAACTCCCTGAAGTTTAATATTATTGATTTTTTTTGGTGTTTTTTCTTTTTCCTTTACAGATTACAGAGATTTTCAAAATAAAACTCCTCCATGTTGCTACTGGTTAGGAAATGAAGATGCATCACTTGCTTTTTAGACTCGTAGTTGATATGTTTTATTATTTTTTCCAAACAGACTATTAATATGTTTTAATACAGGTCTCTTGTACAGAAACATTTTACATTGCCTGGCAGCTATGAGATATCCTCTCTGTGTTAGTGAACTTAATGAAAATATTTATGCAAATATGTAAACTATGAATAATATAAATGTGGACATGTATGTAGTTAATAAAGAAGTGTGTTTCTAATACTGTCAAATGTGTATTTTTATTAATTAAGCTTACAATCAGTGTCGTAGTCTGCATCCTGTTGCACCAGCTGAACTTAAGTTGTTTTGTAAATGTAACACAAACTGCTATAGACTGGAGTTTGGCAGCTCTGTTGGAAAACTAAATCAGGGCTATTTTTATGTAGAGAGTATCTGATATATATTGTCTTTGATGGATGCATGAACAGATCGATTATCAGATCCATCAAATGGAATAAATTAACTAGAAATTGACTTGCTGAACATGATTTCTCATTCGTAGTGTTTAGTGTAAAGAAAAGTTCCATCCAGACCACACACTGTACATACATACAGGGGCCGATGTCGAGTAATATTCACGGGGAGGCTGAAATATAAGCTGATTTATTCATAAACAATCACATGTATCAATACTTAGTTGGAAAAGCCCCCAAAATGAACTCAAAAAGACACGATAGTAAAGCGTTGAATAGAAATATCTAAAGGTGGCATTAGAAATCAATACATAGTTTTATTTCACTTACACAAGCTGGCTTCCTGTGGCTTTGAAAAAAAACTATATGGAAATGATTAAATTCACATTTCGTCAACTAAAATGTGCAACTTTACAGATTAAAAAAAAAAAAACTCCCCCATGTTGTATTTGGTTAAAAAAATAATAAAAAGTAGAATGCATCATTTGCTTCTTAGACTTGTAGTTTTCCCATTTTATTATTGTTCCAAATAGACTATTAGTATGTCTTAATACATTATTATTATTATTATGAAATATGGGTGACTGAAGGAACCAGTTGGATCATTTTGCAGAACTCTACTAAGATTAACTCTTTCTTTCCCTTTTATTTTTAGCCATAATAGATCATTCAGCTATATGTGGTAATTTCTATTTTTAAGTGAGTAATTTTTTCAAATGCATCAAAATTAATGTGTTAAATTTGACACCAAACAGGGGTGGCAGCTGCCCCCTCTAGATCAGAGATAATGTCAGTCAAATCTGGATCGTGATAACACTGTGAACCTCTTAACTGTCCTCATTCAGTTTTTATAAAACATTAATTTAGTTTAAACGGAAAAATGGGCAAATCCAAAGCTAATGTCAGTCATTTCTAACTATCTAAATCCTATAACTGTTTATATATAAGTCTTCATAATATAACGCCTCCTCTTCTTGTTTTTTCACTGATTTTCAGTATAATGTTGCTCCACCTCTGTTCACTGATTGAGATTATCTGCCTCTAGCTCTGCTTCAGTTTGTGTGTGTTTGTGCAGCAGCCAGGTGAGACGACGGCAGTCAGTGAGCTGCTGTTATCTGCTCCGTCAGCCTCCGTCTGCTCCACTGAGCCAAGTTCATCATTACTGAATGCAGGAAGAATGTGGCAGCTGGGTCAAGTGACTAAAGAGACTTCACCATGTGCAGGTCTACAGCTGATCCACATCAAGTATTGATATTTCATGTTGCCTGAAGATATGCAACCTCCACTGTTTGTAGAGCCTAAAAAGCAAGTGATGCATTCTATATTTCCATTTTCCAACCAACAGCAACATGGAGGAGTTTTATTTTGAAAACCTGTCTGTAAAGTTGTATACAAAAGGAAAAAATAACAACAAAAAAATCAATAATTTCTCTTTGGTGAGTCCAGGGTGACTGAGGAGTCAAGCAAAGAGTTTGGATTTTATTTTTAAATTTAGATTTTTCCACATGAGCATTTAAAGATCCCCTTCAGACATGTATTAAAACATATATACAAATATTGGAACGATAATGTGTGTCCGATATTTCATTTAAAATGTTTCAAGCTAATAGTCTGTTTGGAAATAATAATAAAATGGAAAAACGAACAGTCTAAAATGCAAGTAATGCATTTTACATTTTCATTTTCCAACGAATAGCAACATGGAGGAGTTTTATTTTGAAAACCTATCTGTAAAATTAAATTGTAAAAAGGGAAAAAAACAACAGAAAATCTATAATATGAAACTTTGGTGAGTCCAGAGGGACAGAGGACTCAACTCTGTCTACTGATTAGCAGAGAGCTTGGATTTTATTCTGGAATTAGGATTGAGCAATAGATTTTAAAGAGACATCTAATAAGACATTTATACAAATATTCTGCTTGGAACAATAATGCGTCCACATAGAAAAGTTTATCAATATCAAACATCGCACTGTCGGAACAAGTAGAAACACAGATTTTCGGACCGGATGGGGGGGGGGGCTTTAAATGTACCATTGGTGCAGTTTAATGTGAGCGTGCAGCGTGAAGCTGGCACATTTCTTACAGTGCTGTTATGAAACCCGCTTGTGTGTCGACCGTCAGCTGTAACAGCTGCTCTGACTGACTGACTGACACCCGAGGAGCCGCGGGAGAAACAGGAAATGAGAAAACGACTCGTCATTCAGTGTCAAGTACAGTGCAGACAGCGGGGAGGGCTCACACGGTGGAGAGCGCTGAGAGAGGAGCTGTCAATCACCAGCCCCGTGGCCCCGCCCCTCTCATTAAGAAGACAAACAATGAAGAAGAAGAAGAAGAAGAAGAAGAAGAAGAAGGGGAGGGAGAAATCAGACGCCAGAGCCCCCATCCAGTACCCATCACCCCCTGCAACACAGAGGTGTGTAGTGTTGTGTGTGTGTGTGTGTGTGTGTGTGTGTGTGTGTGTGGGGGGGGGGTAACTTCCAATCCTTTTAGGATTATGCCCCCCCTCCTCGCCTCTCTCTGGCTCTGTTCTTCGCTCTTTCACTCCGCTGCCCCTCGGGCAATCACGTTAAAACTTGCATGGCCAGCGCTCATTCAGATATCTCTAACAATGCGTAGCAGCGGTAACCATGTGAGCGCTGGCAAAGCACGCAGGAATGCACAGATTCTGCCCCCTCGGAAAATATCGGAGGCGATAAAGCATTTCCCAGATGTCTTAGAGCAAAATGGCTCTTGGTTCTTTTAAAGGACAATTAGCTAAAAAACAATATGTAAAAAGACTGAACACATGTTAGTAAAAGTTCAATTCTTACCTGGTCTGCTCTTTACGTGATGGCTCACAATGTGTTTATTCAAGGCCAGGTGAAATTAAAAATGTCATTTAATCCATTTAAGATCACATCCTCAGTTATATTGTTCCCCTATTTAACAATTTATACCAAAAAAGGACAAAAACTCAATTTCTGTATGTATTTTTATATCAAAAACCAATCATTTTGACTTCTTGTACAACAAAAAGCGTGACATGCCCGTCAATCAGTCAACACAGAGTAAAGGTTAATCAGCTGATTACCGTACAAACACAACTTCATTCACAGGAGAGTCTGGGAGCTACAGCAGTGGTTGCTTCATGTCAAATGAGTTGTTCTGTTCCGACAATAAGCTGTTGTGTTGATCTGATCCATACAGCCCCACCTTTAAAACTCTAACTGCCATCAACATCAGGCTTATTTAAGTCAATGAAAACCTCAGACATGTGGAACCTTTGTCTGATAATCAGACTCATAATCTGGCAGCCATGTATGAACCAGTACTGGCTCACATTGTCTGGCATCAACCTCAGTGTGCAGCTGATTCTAGAAATGCACACATCCTGTGTTAATCTACATCAGGTGTCCTGTTTACGAGATCTGCCGTAGGTAAAGACAAGTCACCAAATACAGGAAAGTCTTCTGCTTATCGGGCACGGCTGTAGGACGCCACGTCTACGATGCGTCTGCGATCCATGCGTTTGAGAAGCAGAGTGTGTCGCCTTCCCGACGTTATTTACTTATTTATTAGTATTTTGTCCATAAAAAGGAAACAAAGCGGTCTATCACGGGAGCGAAAAACATGTTTTCCATCGAGAAAATCCTCCAGTGTCGTTCTTTCCTCTTCTTTTAATGAAGACAAACTCTCCAGCTCTGATTTGACCGATGCTAGCAGCAGCTATGCTAACCTCTTTGGCAGCCGCCATTGTTGTTTCCGAGCAAAATGCTCGTAGCTCGTGATTGATTATTGGTCTGAACCACTGTGGTTGGACACAAGAATGTAGCCTGGCAAGATGGATTCTCTCTGCACAGAAAGGTGGTAGAAATTTAAGAGATAGATGGTGTTTCTTCCTCCAATGTGCTAAGAAAGGGAAGATTTAGATGAGTTGTTGAGTGTATAAAGGTTAAAACCAGCCAATTAAGCTTATTCTGATCAATGTGTTTATTATGATGCATTTTTATTCCGACTTTATTCTTATTCTGACAAATAAAACATAAAAAATGTAAACACGCTCTGCTGATGCAGTAAGTGTAGCCGTCTCTGACTGTACGTCACTTTGGATAAATCTCGGCTAAATGTCCTGAAACGTGAACGAGCATCTTCCAGACCGGCTCCAGATCCTGTTCTGAGCCTCGGAGGAGCAGAGGGCAGAAACGAGCGCTCCCTCCCTGCCCCTCAGTGTGCAGGAGGGAGGGGAATTGCCATCCCTTCCTTATCTCCAGGTCCAGTCAACTAGAGGCGCTGAGAGAGTTTGCTCCATCATCAGAGCCGGCCATTTGATAGGATTCTGGCACTGCAGCTAATCAATCTGCTGCACAGAGCTGCCAGAAGACCTGTAACAAAGCTCAAAGAGCCTCACAAATGGCCTAGTCCTGGGGATAAGCCCCTGCACAGGATTACATATTGATTTTGAACGTCTAAAAAAGCTTATCATATAAAACCGCCAGCAACTACAAAAGTAGCAGTAGTCTATGCATGAATCCGTCTTTTAGAGGGGAGCATCAACTTTCAAATACAGAGACCCCGAGCATGAACCAAAACACAAATAAATGGTGGAGAAATCAATGGCAGGGATGAGGTGTGCAGGCACATTGTTAACTGTGGAATCACAACTCGACCTCCGCGGTGGGGGGACAGCGGCGGCCCGTGTGTTTGCTTCTTCGTATTGTGTTGTTTAATTATTCTTATCCTTAAAATTCTTTTCCCATACGTTTCATTGTTATGAAAACTGGGTGTTAATAATATAATGTTCTTTTCAATTAGAACCTGTTGTTCTTTTATTCCTTTTCCTGTGTTTGTGTTGTTTAAGTGACAATAGCTGCGCTGCCATTTGGACAGGAAAGTCTCAAGATTTAGATCTTAAAGGGTAACTTTGGTATTTTTCTAACTGGAACTTATTTCCCCATGTTTTTGTGTCAAAGTGACACAAATAGGGGACAACAAGTTTTAAATTCGCTCCAATAACAGTTGAGCAAGCCTCGGTCAACTTTGTCCTTTCCTGTACTGTAACAGTCAAACAGCTAGCTAGCCTTTATCCTTTCCTATTCTACTCAGACTGTCTTTCAGAGGCTGTAGCCGTCTCTGTTTTTAAGCATCTGGTTATCAGGAAACAAGAGGACCCAACACATCCATCGGTACCAACTGTGTCGTGCTACCATGTTGGGAAGGAGGCTAAATAATGCTCCAAAGTTAGGCTAAATGTTGGCGATGGAAAAACTGGCATAGCCATTGTCAAAGGGATCCCTTGACCTCTGACCTCAAGATATCTGAATGAAGACGAGTCTCCCCTTACCCTTCCCATATAGATTTTGTACAGATGCTTCATGCCACCCCTGCAGAAGTCAGTGCCCCTCTTGTGCCACCCCAGTCAATAAAGTCTGGTATGACACTGATTGGTGGTGCGACTCCACACCTTAAAAGTAGAAAAAGAAAAGATGCTAGAAAACCACTATGTGCGGCGTAAGTGAGGTGGTCTCTGAATGATCGAGTAAAAGCTGTTCAACAATAACTCCTCTGGTCTGCCATCAGATCTGCTCCGTAGGAAACCCAGTGTGTCGAAGCACGTTCCTGTTTATACATATGAATGTGTCGTCTGCTCGTGTGAGGTCTGTATTCTAATCCGTTTCCCAACAAAGACGATCCTACATCTGGGTGTTGTCTTCCGTTGCTTGTGTTTTCTGTTTAATAGACATTTGGCTGAAGGCCCGGCGCTGCCAGTCACAAACTCAAATCTTCTTCATTCGCTCACATTTCTGCCTCTGCTTGCACACATTCGCTGTTTAGTGTCAACACAGACGTTCTCAGAGGTAATCCACAAAATGATCATTTACTGTAAATAAAACAAGGATATAAAGAGATCCTGAAGATTACTCAAATGTTCACCCAACACCTGAATAAGAGAGAAAATAAATTGTGTGATACTGTTGTCGTCTTGTAACACGTAGAGAAAACATATATGATGACATTTCCTACTTGATTTTCAAAGTAAAGGTCCATTCTGCCACCATGTACCGTCTCCCTGACAGATTTGATAGAGAGTTGGAAATGTTAACTCCTTTTGATACTCCTTTTCATCGTACAACTCGACTCTTGTTAATGTTACTAATAATCTATTATAGAAAACGTTTACAATATGCAACCCTACTTACTAAGTAGCGAGCTGGCTACATCCACGGAAGATATAGCAACAGAAAAAATGAGATTGACGTAGTTGTGCAAGTTGTTTTAAGTCAATTTATAGAAATAATAACTCTTAAATCTACACTTTTATTTGACTAATGGGGACAACAAATTTTGAATTCTCTCTGTGCTCCAGTTGAAGAAGACTCAGTCAACTTCAGATGTGCTACATGCTAGGCTAATCTATGTTGAAAAGACATTTTAAAGATGGTTAAAAGATAAAAGCAACAAATATATATAGAGTCGCATCTTAAGTTAGCAAAAACTAAAAATCCTACACACTGGTCCTTTAAATGAATGGCTGCTAGCAACCGCTACCATAATAATAATAATAATGGCAATAAAAACAAATCTAATTAACAAATTAAATAAAACCATAGATTATCTTGTTTCTACCTTTGTGACAGCTGTGTTCATTAGATCAAAGAGGTAAAATAACATTTAATTGCGGTTTTATTCCCTGCTGCCTGCGGAGGCGAGGCCAGACAGGCGTATAAGTTGACTGTGGGTGGCCTCACTGAGAACGAAACTCTGGCAGCGTCTTTAAATAATATGATTTCTATTTTAGGGAGTATTTTTTAAAAAGGCTTGTTGACCTCAACAACAGAAGAATGGTTGACTCATCGCCTGACGGTGTGAATCGGCCTCGTTTCATCCACCGCCACCGAAAGCGTGATCAATGTCTCTCATGTCCATTTTCTATTGGTAATCCTCCACAAATTGCCCTCCGTTGCAGTTTGTGTATCAGCTATTTGCACTGGATTAATGTGAGTCACTGGTGGCAAGTGTTCAAATCAATGTTTATTAATGGTTTTCTTTAAGTGTTTAAAGATTAAGTCATTAACATATTGATGAAGTTTTCAAAGTTGCCCAGGGAGAGAAAAGGAGCCGGAGCTGGAGAGGGTTTTTGACGAGCTGCTGAACTGAACCAAAAAAAAAAAAAAAAAACCAAGAGGCTGAAGAAGAGAAAGAAGAAGAGCTGTGGGTTTCCTGAGAGGAGGGCATCAGGCGCTGCCACTCACCGATTCTTCAGTTTATTAAAATACGGCACGTTGCCAGAGCAAATGTCACTTGACACGGCGCACACTTAACTCCGCGGCTACATCTGGTTTAAATTAATAATTTAGTACATGAATTTACATCTGAATTGTTAAATAATTTCGTAAGACGCAGGTTTTTTTTGTGTGTGTGTGTGTGTCGTTCTCT